TAAATATTGTTTTTCCTGTGGCATAAATTCTGTTATTCTCATTTTATAGCTAGGGAAGCTGAGAACAGAGTAGTTATTTTAAAATGTGTTCTCTGTCTGTGAACCTGGTATGTGCTTCCACTTATTTATGTCTTCTTCAATTTCTTCAGTGTCTTAACATCATTGAAATGTCCATACTATCAAAAGCAATCTGTAGATTCAATGCAATTCTTATCAAGATTCCAGTGATGTATTTTACAGAACTGGAACGAATGTTACAAAAATTTATATGGAACCATGAAAGGCCCCCCACATAGCAAGACTGATCCTGAGAAGGAAGAACAAAGATGGAGGAATCACATTCCCTAATACCCAACTATAAGGCCATTGTAATTAAAACAGCATGGTATTGTTATAAAACAGAAACACAGATCAATGGAACAGAATAGAGAGCCCAGAAATAAACCCACACCTTTATAGTCAATTAATATTCAACAGAGGGGCTAGAGATAGTTTATTCAATAAGTGTGTTAGGAAAACTGGACAGATATGCACCGAAAAAAGAAATTAGACCACCTCCTTATACCACACACAAGAATAAATTCAAAATGGTCAAAGATTTAAAAGTTAGACCTGAAACCATAAAAATCATAGAAGAAAACATAGGCAGCAAAATTTCGGACATTGCCCATAGCAAGGGAAACAAAAGAAAAAATAAGCAAATGGGACTACATCAAACTAAAAAGCTTTTGCACAGCAAAGGAAATCAACAAGATAAAAGACAACCCTCAGAATGGGAGGACATATTCGCCAATACATCTGATAAGGGGATAATATCCAAATTTTATAAATAACTTACAAAACTCAACACCAAAAGAACCACCAAGCCAATTAAAAAATGGGCAAAGGACCTGAACAGACACTTCTCCAGAGGATGTACAGACGGCCAACAGATATATGAAAAAACGTGCAACATCACTAATCATCAGAGAAATGCAAATTAAAACCACAATGAGGATGGCTATCATCAATAAATCAACAAACAACAAATGCTGGTGAGGATATGGAGAAAAGGGAACACTTTTGCAATGTTGGTGGGAATGCAGACTGGTGCAGCCACTGTGGACAGTAATATGGAGATACCTCAAAAAATTCAAAATGGATCTGCCTTTCAACCTAGCGATCCCACTTCTGGGAATAAACATAAAGAAACCCAAAACATTAATTTGAAAGAGCCTATGTTCATTGCAGCATTATTTACAGTCACCATGATACGAAGCAGCCCGAGTGTCCTTCAGTAGATAAGTGGATAAAACAACTATGGGACATTTACAAAATGGAATACTATTCAGCTGTAAAAAAAAAAAGAAGAAGAAGAAGAAGAAAATTTTACCCTTTGCAACAGTGTGGATGGACCTGGAGAACATTATGCTAAGTAAAATACACCACTCAGAGAAATATACAACATGATTTCACTCATAGGTGAAATCTAATGAACAAACTGAACTAACAAGAAAAATGGGAACAGAGTCATAGATGGAGAGCAGGCTGACAGCTGGGGGTGAGGAGCAGGGTAGGAGGTGGACGGATTGAGCAAAAAGGTGAAAGGACTCACAGACATGGACAACAGTGTGGTGACTGCTGGGGAGAGGAGGGTGTAAGGGGGGGCTAAGTGGTAATGAAAAAATACAATGAAGATTAAAAATTAAGCACGTTCTCTGACTTCTCCTTCTAACCAGACTGTCATCCGTGTAAACTCTACCTATATAGACTGTTCTTTCTGTGGCCTCATTTGTGAGTAGGAAGATAAATCTGGAAAACTTTCAGAATGCGCTAATGGAAAGGCGATTTCAGATGGTTCTAAGACGTCTAAAAATACAGAAAGAAATCCACATGTTGATGAGACGGATTTGAGAGAGAAGCCATTGGTTAGAAAGCTCAGAATTCCATATTGGGGGAAAAAAAAAACAACTTTTTTTGGTGGTTATGCCATTTCCACCCATGCTTTCCCTCATATATAACCTCATACGCACCCTTTCAAATGATCCCTGCAAAGAATTTGATCCCAGATGGGAACAGAGTTATACACAAAGATAAAACCACTGTGATGGTCCCCGTAACAGTAGCTCGTGGTTAAAGAAAAAAAAAGAGGCAGGGCAGAATTTCCTAGTGGAAGCCACCGTGCCGGGTCTTTAGACATTCTTGAGTTTGGACAAGCTCTTGCCTGGACTGTCGGTATGACCTTGGCAAATCAGCAACATCTCTGGGCCTCTGTCGCTCAGTTTCATTATTTGAAAATGGAAATAACAACACCCACTTAGCGGGCTGTGGATGCGTTAAACTACTACTATAAAAAGCTCGGCACAGTGCTTGGAATATAGAAGATGCTCAATGATGGTAATTTTAAAAAGGAAGAGAAGATAGAAGAAGGGAAGGGTAGTAACTTTAATGTCCAGAATAAAAGGAGAGTCATAGAAATGTCTTTAATAAATACGCATCATGCACTGAGAGAGAGAGAGAGAGAGAGAGAGAGAGAGAGAGAGAAACACCTTGTGATCTTGGGTAAAAGTGTCCTTTACCATTTGCATTGCTCTTAGCTGAATAAACTTGCCGGCAGCTACCACTTACGATGCAAATTGAGCTTAGAGTCCTTCACACTAACTACACAGCAAAAACCTTCCAGCTTTAAATAGAATACTGCAGTGTGGAATGATCTGAGCACAGGGAAGAAAAAATCCAGGGATAAATGGGAGGAAGATCTTGGAGAAAAAAAAAATCTAACATATCTGGGAAGGTAGGCGACATGCAGAAATTATTGAAGGAGACAAAAAGAAAAGCAAAGTCTACAGAAGGACCTAGAAGCCAATGCCTCCGAAAGTGGGTTTAAGTTAACAAAGGAGAAAAGAACTTTGGGGGCAAGCCCCCAATACAGTGGATTTTAACAAAGAATATTTTGTTCTGGTGCTCTTTCAAGCTGCACCAGCGCTTGTAGGGTTTCATCAGGAGAAGAGGGACTCATCCCTCCGGCCAGCATGACTGAGTGAAAGTCCCCTAAAACGAACAGATTAGGACATGGAGACTTCCTGCCGTACCCAACTCCTGCTTTTTACATTTTTTAAGTTTAAGAGACAGAGAGAAACATAAGGATTTTAGAAGGATTTAGAAGGATTTTAGAAAGCTCTTTGCCTCACTTTTGATTATGTAAACCCAGATATTTCATCCAGAATCAGTTTACAAAAATGCCATAAAATAGGAACAAAAATTAGGCAGTATCTGGGGCCCTGAAAGCAGTAAGGAATACCATTTTTAACTCATTTCTTTATTCTACAGATGACACCACTATACACACGGCCCCAGTTTGCCCATCTTACCAGCTCAGTAAGTTTCCCCTACCTACACTAGGAAGCATAATGAAACATACAAGAAAACAGGAAGAGAGCCCTCTTTCTTTGTTGTCACAGACAGAGAAAGTGGCCCCTGATAAAGCCGATAGACCCAAGACCACCTTCTTTCTTGGATGCCATGCTCAGACACAGAGCTAATCATATCCTGTCTGGTACCTGAATCAGTGACAAAGCACTAAGACTGAGAAAGAACATCTTATATTCGCATGGTCATCATGCAAATAGAGAGAATCAGCAAGTATGCTGCTTGGTATGGGGGAGGGACAAGCCGAACATCTTAAAAGCCACCTCTAAGCTCCTGGAGGCCAGAGCTCACAAGACTCTGCTCGATCTGTTTAGCACCGTGGACAGATTAGGTTTGCTGCTCTCCAATCGTAATGATAAATACAAAATATATTTTCAATAGTGCCGGGCAGTCTTTTTATGTAAAACTTCCAGGGATATTTACAGAAAATGCCAGCTTTACCCCCCAAGTTATGTCTTTTTCTTTCTTTCAGAACTTGAATTCTTTTACTTGCCCACATTTCACCTGTAATCCTGATTTTCAAAATAATATAGACATTTTAGTATCCAAGAACAATAGTCTTAAATGAACATACCTTGCTACATTTTCCTAAAGCACTTTCACACACATTCCCTCACGTGGATATGGCCATGTGACAATACAACACTTTATATGAGTGGTTAAGGATAAAGGCCTACAGGTAGAAAATGAAAGCAAAAATAAAGTTTGGTATTTAAAAAAATGCGTCCACTCTATGCACACACAAAAGGTGGAATGGGTTCCACCTGCTGACTTTTCCCTGCCTGCCTGCCTGCCTGCCTGCCACCGCACTCAGGCTAATACCAGAACAAGCTGCGGGGGAGAGAGAGGGAGAGAGACGACAATTTCACCTCCTGGCAAAGCTCAGCCTCCTGAACCCTCTTGCTTTCTGCTGGCTGTTGATTCAGCAGAAACTACTGCTGCAGAATTCATAATGGTGATTTTTAAAGGCTCCACTGATCGCGTTGCTCGCCCCACGTGTCAGGCTCATTCGCTCGCTGCCGGGAACACCGTTTCCCCCACCATCACCTTTTCAATCCTGCTAATGCACTTACAAGGGGAGAAGGGCTCGCCCTTCTGCAAAGCGTCTTTTGGGGGTTTGATTGTCTGAACAGGTAACCGGGCCAGAGAGATGAACCGGCAGGAAATGAAACCATGCCCTCCCTACAGCCACTGAGAGAGAGGCATCATTCCGCTCAGGGAGGGGAGGACCCCACGGTCCTTCTGGGCCCCTTCCTCCTTCTCTCCCCACAGAACCCCTGCAAACATCTCGGGGGAGGGGTCATCAGCCTTCTGGGGGTCATTTTTCCAGTTGGGAGCCCCACCCTGAAAAGCCTAATCCCCGAGGGCCATTTTAACTCCCGTGGGCGCCGGGTCCACCTGCTGCTGAACGCTGGGCTCGCCTCGCGGAGCCCGGATGGATGTGGGGCGCACTGGCGGCCGCCCCTGCGAGACGAGCCCCCGCCCCAGCCCCGGAGGAGTCTCCGCCACTACGCGCCCAGCAGCCCGCGGAGCACAGAGATCCGCAACTTGCGCCCGGCCCCAGCGGCGGAATGCGGCGGGGCTGGCGTTACCTTCGGTCGCATAGCTGTGGTCGCGCAGGAAACTGTTGTTGATTTTGCGGGTATCAATGTCCTCCTCCATTGACAGCAGGCTTACTTGCGTGGGAACCAGAAGCCGGCAGACAAGTATCCATGATCCCTCCCCGCAGCCAGTCTCACAGGAGAGGGGGGCAGGGGAGCCAGTGGGACTGCACCATGGTCCGAGCCTGAGGAGGAGACGGGGAGGCGGAGAGAAAAAAAAATAAAAACCCGGCAATGGAGCTGTCACCTCCTCCACTCGGGATCTCCGAGGCTGTGGCGGCTCCTCCCGCGGTGCGCTCACTCCAGCTCCAATTCCCAGCGAGGATGCTGCGCCTGCCTCCGGTGCCAAGATGCGCCGTGCCCCGAGGGGTCTCGTCCCGCCCGCCGCCCCGGAGGCGCTCACAAGCCGAGCTGGGGAGATGCCCAACAGGTTCCCCTCGTTGGCAGCCGCTCCGAAATGCAAAAAAGATCCCTCCTCCCCTTGGGAAAGCACGCAGCCGCGACAAAATGGTGCCTTTCTGGACCCGAGCTGCAGTGGCGAGATGGCAGGGGCAGGATTCAGGCTGGGCAGGCCTGGGAGAGGGTGCTGGTCCCACGGGAGGGCGGCTCTGGCCGGCGGGGGCGAGGAAGCCGGCGGGGAGCTGGGCAGGGCGCTGCGGCCGGCGACAGCGCACTCACCCTCACACCCACACGCGCGCACTCGCAGCAGCTGCCGCTGCTCCTGCTGCTGCTCCTGCTGCAGGAGGCTGGAGGCGGCTGGTGCATTAGAGGCGAGGCTCCTCCCAACCGCGTCACAGCCCCAGGACTCTTCCCCAGCAGCGGCTGCTCTCTGCTGCAGTGGGGCGCACGCAGCCGCGAACCGGCACCTGGGCAGCCAGCCGCGAGCTTGCAGGCTCAGGTGAAAAGCGTAGACGCGCCCTCCCAACCTCCCTCCTCCCGTGCCACGCAGCTGAGGGTGGCGTTTACTCTGGCACCCACAGCCTTAGCTTGCAGCCAGCCCTTCTCCGGACACCTGCGCTTCAGGACAGCCAAGAGAAGTGGGTTCGCTTAGGTAGGCAGGAAGTGGACATCCTGGTCGCTTTTGCTCACCCTTTTGTGATGCATGCAGTCCCTTGCTGGAGTTAAAGGGCAAGGTCTGGGGTTCCAAGCCTCCAAAAAAGAGGACAGAATGGGAAAAGAGCTTCTCAGCGCCTAGCTTAAGCCCTCTGTGCTAGGAATAGAAGGGGAAACGGGGGCGAGAACTTTTCTGCCATCACAAGTGACTTCTTCATTCAAACAGAGTCATAAACATCTAACTGTAGACATCTGTGTCTACACAAGCAGAGGGATTCAGAGGGCTGAGTTATGTATGAATCTAGCCAACATGGTCAGTCTGAACAAGTCCACTCCTAGCCCTTTGCACTTGGTTTCGGACGAATTGCGGGGGGCCTTCCTGCGGGTTTTGCCTGTGAAGACAGGACACCGCAGGACCCTCTTACATTTGCTCTCAGCACGCAGGTACCCTGAAGCCGTTTGTCCACAGAGAGCCGCTGCCAGCCTGAGGGAGTTTCAAAGAGCCAGTAAATATGAAAGAGAGGCCTGTCTTCCTGTTCCAACTAGGAGGAAAATACCAACTTCCCTACTCTCCCCCCACCCCAGTGTTCCCCCATGTTGCAAATTCTGTGTTTGAAGGAAAATTAGATCCTTATTGTTATGAAACAAACATTTATAAAGCAACCCAACTCACTAGAAAGCCTATTTGGGAAAGACATTTCCCAGGTTCCCTCTTGTGGGAGGGACTCATTTCCGTGGGTGTCACTGCAGGAGGAAACATCAGCAAATGTCTTGCTCAGTTAAACTCCACGAGTTAAGCTACATGAGCCCAGAGGGACCTGTGAGTTAATTATATACATACAATGCTTCGGCTAACACAATTTAGAAAGTATTTGAAGTTGAAAAAAATGGGAAAACAAGTCCGTAACTGAGGTTGGGAATTGCCATTAGATTTCCATGAAGAATAGATGCTTCTGGCAGGTGGAAAATGGCATTGCCCCCCTTCTCCAGAAAGTGACAGCACGTCTTTGAGAGACAGAAGAGGCATAGTCATCGATATAGTTCTTTTGAGGGGAGGGAAGTTTAGTGAGCAAGAGATTCCATGTTATTCTCATCTGGTGGTTAGGTCTTACGTGCTTGTTTGACTATTGGTTGAAAAGCCATCTATGAAATTCCAGTAACAGATGAAGGCTGGCGCGAGCTCCTTCAAACCTCCTCAGCAGCAGTTGCTGAGCGAGGTTTTCCGTGTGATGAGCTGCACCGGTCACCAAGACTCCAGCAGTTAGCTCCTCCCGAGTTACACAGTCTAGCTGCTCTTGCAGATTGCTGTAACCGGGGGCCGGGGCCGGAGGAAAGGGGCGGAGGGAGGAAAAAAGCGAAGTTCATCTCCGAGTGGCGAGAAGCCATCTTGCTTTCCGTTGAAATGACCTTAAGTTGCAACAGGAGACCTTAGAAAAATAGCACTTGGGAAATTCTCCCTCTTATCTCCCTGGAATGTGGGCTGCATTGGAACAGAGCTGCATGATGAATCAGGTAGGCCCAGGCTGTGCTTGAGGAATCTTCCACAGCAACCAAGGAGAGGAACGTCGCCTCCCTCCATCAAGCCTCTGGGCTTACTAAATTTTCTCTCTTATATTTCCTGCAAAGTTCTTCCTGCATTTATTCAACAGTACAGACTTTTTTGTTGTTGCTGTTTTCTCCAAGACACAAGTTCTGGATTAAGTAGATGCCAGGGTTTCTATTTTGTGATCACCCTTTTTTGCTATGAACAATGAGGAACTAGCCCCTCCACCCAAGCAAAATAAAGTTGTTGCCTTGGTGCTCTAACACAATGACGTGTAGTAAAGGAAGTAAAGCCCTGGGCAGTCCTGTGGTGGTAAGAGGACTACATAGACATTTCTCCGGAGACTTGCTTGCTGACCTGCTTTCTATTCCTCCAACGTGTCGAGTTCTTTTTAAAGCTTTTGGCATTTGCATGTGTCATTGCCTATGCCCCTTCCTTGTGTGCTTGGCATTCTTTAGCATCTCAGCTGAACTGTTCCTACTTCACTGAGGAATTCTCTGACAACACCACAGTCCCTTCCTCTGGTATTTTCTGCCTCTTTATCTTCTTGGTTTTCTTCAGGGAGTGCTGCATTTTGCAGTAGCTGTTTCCTTATTATTGTCAATCATTTTCAACGTATTTCTGACATTAAGTGTCTGGCACTTGGTAGATGTGCAATTATATTTGTTGAATGGAGCCCCCGGTCATCGTAGCTTTCAGTTGGTTGGAGCATCATCCTGTAGACTGAAAGCTCACAGGTTCGATTGCTGGTAAGGGCACATACACAGTTTGTGGAGCGTACAAGAGGCAACTAATCAATGTTTCTCCCTTACATTGATGTTTTTCTCCTTTTCTCTCTCCCTTCCCCTCTCTCTAAAGTCAATGAGCATGTCCTTCAGGTGAGGATCATATATATATATATAGACTGGAGATAAATATTTCTTCAATGAATGAGTAAATTATTAAATTTGTTCAGTGATATTTAGGTTCTGTGATTCTACCCTTACTAAAATGCTTGCCCCCAAAATCCCCCAAAACAAAACTTAACCCTGACAACAAAACCTGTTGTGAGCCATTAATCCTCTAGCTTGTAACTCCTGTTCTTATCGAAATAATTATTCCTACCCATTTTCGTATGCACATGCACCAAAAATATTTACTGAGCACTTAGTAAGTTGCCCAGAGTTGTTCTAGGTGCTGGGAATATGGTTAAAAAAAAAAGAGTTCCTTCCTTCACACAACTTAAATCCTATCATCTGATTTTAATATGTGGTGTCTTAGAAACAAATGCATAAAAATCAATACCGCCCTCAACAGTAAACACATATTTAAGCATCTACCATATCAGCAACATCAGTGCATAAGACGTATAGGCACCCTCTGCTATGTCATGGAACTTAGTATCTAATTTACAGCTTATGCAAAGGGGGCCACAGGCTACGAAAGGGTCAGCAGAGACACTCTGAAAGGCTGACCTAATTCAGGCTTGTGCTTGACACAGAAAAGGCTAATTGCAAATACACAGCCTTCTGAAGTTACACAATTCAGCATGACAGCACGTGGACACATTCTTCTTTATCATCCTCGTCATGGTCCCCTTCCCCCATCACTCCCATATACCCTCCCCCAAGTTAGGTTAGTGCTGCCTACCCGGGAACCTTTTAGGTCATCCTGTCCAATTAGGATATTAAATATCTACAATTTTATTAAAACCCTTGACCTAAGCCAATCTGGAGAGTCTTAACATACATTTTAGGTGTCAGACAGCCCTGGTTTGGGTCCCAGCTCGGGCATTTATGAATTTCATGACCTTTGGCAAGTAGTTTAACATTTTTGAGCCTCTGTATTTGCAAAACGGAAGAAAATGATAGGAACTACTTCATAAGGTTGTTGAGTGGCTTCAGAGACAATGTAAGGAAAGTGCTTTCTCCAGGCTTGGCCTATTGCAAGACCTCCCTAAAATGTCACTTCTTCCTAGCAGTGGCTCATGGGGGTCTCCATCTGCAGAGAAATGGAGAGACGCACTACAAGTCAATCACTGATGTGAACAAAAGTGACCTAGAAACCTGAGTTTTACTACCTATCAATCTGTCTTAATGAGCAGCTAGAAACTGGACGCAGGGAATTTTACCATTTTGCAAAAAGCCTCCTATAAGCTACAAAGTCCTCTGCAAAGGAAGGGATTAAGATTATCCTCACTTGATTTTCACATTTTGTATGTGCAGAACTAATCACCTTTCTCTATCGAGGAATCACGTGGAATCCCTCTCTAGGGTCACTAAGCACCGAACGCACACCTCTCTGAGTTGGCTTGTGTGCTGACTGCCCAGAGGATGACCTCTTGAACTTCTAGCAAAGTTTGCAGTTCCTCTTTGTTATGTGACAACATGCAAAACTACATGAGTGCTCTTTTGACTTGGCATTTAACCCAGGGAGAGGGAACAAACCATCTTGCCCTTAAGATAGTGTATTACAGGTCACCAGTTCAATTCCTAGTCAGGGCACATGCGTGGGTTGCAGGCCAGGTCCCCAGGAGAGGGCGTGTGAAAAGCAACCACACACTGATCTTTTTCTCCCTCTCTTTCTCCCTCCCTTCTCCTCTCTGT